TATGAATTTAAATTGCAAGGGGGTGGAGGAAGAAGGAGCTATATTTATGAATTTAAGTTGCAAATTCTTTAAGGAACTTTAGTCAGTTCGTCAGTTCTAAACCTCTAATTGACGGATATTATAATGTTTACTTTCGACTAACGACAATAGTAAAGGAATAACGGCAAGATGCGGTCCGACGATGCATAACGCAATCTTAATCATATATGTCACGTACCGTCACGTCATCTATGCGACAACTAATGTTTTTGCATGTTTACTAATGTGTCCGTTTTTGATGGTGCTGTTGCTATGAAAACGTGTCGTCGGGAACACACACGCAGATGCTAATGACAGTACGTATACAACAAATAATACTTTGATTATAATTTTTCATAATGATTATTTATATTGAATTTATATTGTTATTGTTCTTTTTCACATTTTCTACCATTAACTAAGTATTAACTAAGCCCCACCCCTCCCCCCACGCAAATAAGGTTTTCTTTGGGGGGGTAAGTGGTAAGCACGACACATTACCTTATTTCTTACCTTTCCTTATTATCCTGCAATATTCGTTAACTTATTAGCTCAAAAACTAATTATTTGAAATGGGATTCTTGAAATTTTATTTTATTTTGTATTTAATTTATATATTTTTAAATATCTTGAAATTGCTATGTTTTATCAATACTATTTCTTGTTCATTAACTTACAACCTTAATGGTAAGCACTAATAATAGAACAACCATTTTAAACATGCTCTAATAGATATTAATTTGAAATATTGTTTTAACAATTTTTATAAATTTTTGCTCTTAACTTTTTTGACGTCTTTAAAAAGCCTTAACTAGTCTCCAGACTCCATATGTCAGCTGTAAGCGAAAAAGTAAGCGAAAAAGCATAATGCACCGGCATGGCGCACCGGCATGGTGCACCGGCATGGCGCACTGGCATTGCGCACCATTCCCGTATAACCTCATTCCCGTATAATCGTATAATTGTATAATCTCATGACCATGGAAAACATCATAGATCAACCTATTTTGGGTACGTCACTTACAAACAAACAATAGATGAATAAGATGGAAATATGTACCATATCACGTGACCCCATCCAATAAAAAAATAAAGGATCAAATAAAATGCATGTACTTTCTTCCTAACTTAAATATAATTAGTGTTAATAAGTGGCTGTATTTTTGTAACGTTTTCATGGAACAGAAACGAGATCGGGGACACAGTCTAAGCGATGAAATAGAAGAAGCTGAGGTAAAAGACACGCTCAATATAACAATAAAATAAATAATTAAACCAATAAAATCGATTTTCATTCTTCTATCCTTGGCTTGTAAAATAATTAAAGTAAACGACAAACCTTTGTTGCCTTGATAAATTTACTTTAAAGTAAAAAAACACGATACCTTGAATAAAAAAAATCGTGATATCTAAAAATTCCTTGTAAACTGCTTCTTYAAACCTTGACTTAAAAGCACTCGTACGTAAAAGCTCAAATACTCAGAATGAAAGGTGTAAGCATAATGGTACTGTTTTCTTTCTCCCTAAGCCTCACTCCTTTTAGCCAGCATCAGCGCTTCATAAATATTTGTGTTGGCGTTGATCAAAAGGAACGGTGGGCTTTTGCAACATTGTAACATGCTGTTACTCTTACTCTCGACCCCAGATCACTCTTACTTTTACTGCGAATTCTCGACGAAATGTCAGAGATTAGATATATTTAGCTATTCGCCGAGCATTCGCAGTGAGAATAAAAGAAATCTGGGATCGAGGGTCTGTCGTTCGTAGAGCCTGCATTCCTCACGGTCAGCGTTGAGAAACCCAGGCTCTCGGGACGAGGTTGCTCAAGTATGAAACGTTTTCTTGTTTTTGTTAATAACGTTTGTTTTTATTTCAAGAACAAGCACAAAAAGGTGAATAGACAAGGGTCCAAGATGTCGAGTTATTTTGACGGTCCGTCTAAAGAGACACCTGAATGGGGTCATCAAGGTGCATTCGAGTCCATCGAAGAGGGTAGACAACACGATGGATCCAGGTCCAGGTGAGCGACCCTGAACAAACTTCTTCGACTTCTCTCTCATCTGCGTAGCTTCAGCTTTGAATACACTTAAAACAGAGCACAAATGGAGAAAAGGGGTAAAGTGCGCACATTCGGCGTCCGATGATTGCAGTTGAATTTCAACTGACGGAAATACCGACGTTAAATATAAATATAACACTTTAGTTTACGAAGCTCAAAAGAAAAACAAAAAAACCATCTTGCATGGAACCTGTATTTTTTAACCAACAATCCCATGCCTAACGAATTAGTTACCAGACTTCCTCTGTGCGGAAAATACAGAAAATCTCATCGTGTTCAAAGGAATGCTTAGTAAAGAAACAATATAATATACTCTGGAATTTCACCGCTGACAGCAAATTGATCACAAGTTGTATTGGCTTTTATAAATATTCCTATAATATTAATGACAGAAACTAATGATTAACTAAACTAAAATTCCTATTAAAAATTGATAGGCTCGGTCGATTGGTTTGGTTGATTGGCGAAGCCAACGCTATCATACATAATGGCGACTGATAAAATATGAGTGAATATACTTGATGTAAAATTCTTACAAGCACTTACAGAACTTACATTTTACCACTGATAATTACCATAACCACGGAAATAATATAAACTCTGTAAATTTAAAACTAAATCGTAAATATTATAAAACTTTTGCTTTGTAAAAGTGGCGAGTTAAAGCGACGAAGATCCTCTAAACGAAGCAAGAAAGTAAAGAAACAAGGTGCTGTGGCCGGACCAAACTTTTTCAGCGCCACTGGCTTAAGGTAGGGTGTGGCCAAACACTTGCGTTTAAACTAAATGGTTGCTAAGCAACGTTTTAAAACTGATTTCTAAATCACACAATCTATTAGTTACTATAAATAATAGTACTTAATCTCAATACGGCAATCGTTACAGTTACAATATTAAACGTAAATGTTACATAATTCACGTAAAATTTCCCGTCTTTACGCTTACCCGTAAAATCTCTCCGCTTTTCGATATAAAGAAGCAAAAAACTGGAAACCTTCTCCTCCCTTCCTCCCTCATGCCCCCCTCTCTCTCCAGATGATATTGTTAATCCGCATTAATGAGCTTTATTAATCATTTCTTAAACAGTTCTTCAGACCTGACTATGGCACCCTCGATGAACCATGAAGTAGAGTTTGATGGTGACGTGGAACTGGGGAAAATAGCCGAAGATAAACCGTCCACGCCCATCTGGGCATCCAAGATAATGGCGGCTTACGAAAAAGCAGGTAAGAATAGATGTGGAGACCATATGATCATGATAAGATAAATTTTCAACTGATTTTCATTTTTATAACCAGAAGAAAAAAAGAAGGAAGAAGGAGCTAAAGGAGCAGCCACGGAAACTGAAGAGTTCAGACAAAGAAAAGCAGAATTATTGGCAGCAGGTGACGTTCTTTGATATATTATGATTGGCATTTGTCAATCACAATACGACGCGTCTATGCCTATGTTGGTCACCCATTTAACTATTTTACACGCTAACCAATCAAAAAGCAGAAACATTTTTTTGGCAGACTGCCATTTCCTGCTTACAAGTCGGAGAAAAAATGAAAACAGTCGCGATGTTGTTCAAAGAAAAGATCTCAGATTGACTAACGAGTGAAAAGGTTGATGGGGGTTGCCACGGTATCACGCATCAAACCATTCAGTGTCACTTTGCTGGACACGGATGCCGACACCTAGGGATAGACCTAATCCACTGTTTTCCCATTTCAGACCACCTGTCATGTCGTATTCTCAAGGGGATGACATGTGGTATGAAATTATGGGCAAAACATTACACCCAAGTGGATTTGGTCCATTTTCCCCATAAATAACAAGCCAATCAGGAAGCAATGGCAGTTGAATGGATTTCTTTTTTTCCATGCAGTATATTTTTCATAAATAAAATTTTTTTTCTGATGATAGAAGAAAGAAGCTCTGAAGGAGAAGGAAGTCATCCATCAGCGTATTCTTCTGAAGAGTACAGTGGAAGTGATCGAGAAGAAAGACCAAGGTTCCCACGTACCGCTCCTGTAGGAAAGGACGACGAAAGTACACACACTGTGAGTCATTCAAACAAAACTGCACGTAGTTTGTTACTTAAGGAGGGTATTTAAGGAGTTGATTGATGGGAGTTAAGTTTTGATGATGTTTTCTCAGGAGTCTGCTAGTGGAAGTTCCGCTGCCCTAGAAGTATGGAAGGCGCCTACACCAGTCAGAGTATTCAAGATAGTGTTTGTTGGAGACTCGGGTGTCGGGAAATCCAGTTTCATTCACAGATTTTGTCATGACCAATGGAAACCTTCCTTCACTGCGACTATTGGTAAGTCGTATAAACATAAAATGTTGCGTCACTTGGAACAGGAATTGACTGATTGCTCGTGTGGAGTGTCAGCTAGTCTATACCCAATAATCCGGCTTCAGATTTTTATTTGTACATATTCTTGATCTTTCGTTGATTTATATTCAGGTGTCGATTTTCAAATCAAAAATATGACGGTCGGAGGTCGAAGTATCGTGATTCAATTGTGGGACACCGCTGGTCAAGAAAGGTGAGGCTCACATGACAGTAATATATTAGGTTCGATTCCCTCACTCACCGACTCGGTGTACGCATATGATAATTAGAGTTGCTTCGAGGATGTTTCTTTAGGTTCTTCGGTTTTCCTCCTTCTGCAATCAACTTTTAAAGTCCAATTCCATCATGAACCTACATGATTGCCACAGGTTTGTTAGCCACTGGCTTTTAAGTGTAACCCTCGAAAAAAAGGACGATCGAACGATTAATATGGAATATTGTATGTTAATCGTCGTAAAATGACCTAAGACTCATTTTTTCATGTAAATGTTGTTTGAAAGGTTCCGCAGCATCACGAAACAATACTTTCGCAAGGCCGATGGGATACTAGTATTCTATGACGTCACAGCTGAATCATCGTTTATCAATCTGAAGAGTTGGATGGCTAGTGTCGAAGTAAGTTAACATGATCTACCTTGATTACATCTACAGCCTATCAAGTTAAACTAAACTGGTTAAACTTGTAGGATTTCTGAACATTAGCACGCATTGACGCACGGCCCCGTGGACTGTCCTTGCGCTAATCTAGTAACCACTGATACATTGTTTATCAACAGGAAGGTGCAGAAGAAAAGGCGACGCTAATGATTGTAGGAAACAAGGTTGACTTATCTGAAGATAGTAATATGAGAGCAGTCAAGACTGAGAACGGAGAATATCTTGCAAAGGTAAATTATCACCATGGGATCCCTGTGGTGTAAACCTAATACCATACCAGACTGTCTGTGATTCAAATACTTCAGGTATTATAACAAGGAAATTATTCTGTGGTCATTCTAGTCATACAGGAGCATGCGCAAAAAGAAACTAAGATAGYTTTGTCAACTGAGTCTGCGTTCCTTTTGGTCAGTGCCTAGAAGTGTAGAAATCCATTTGACACAACTGTCATTGTTTCCTGATTGGTTATTACGACAACCCGTATCCATTGACGAAGACCAAAAATACTGCAGGCTCGGGTAATGGAAACGTAATAACACGAACTCGGGCTCCCTATGCTTTCTTTGTCTAATTTTTTTCCTCTCTCACAGAACTATAACGCCCTTTACATGGAAACAAGTGCTAAAACAGGATACAATATAAATGAAGCTATGAACAAGATGGCCGAGTAAGTATGTCGTTCAGAGGCCTGGGCATTAATGTCCTTGGTTTATCATTGATATTATTATAAAATCCTAATATTATTTCTTTGTAGGGTTTTACAAGAACGAGAAGACGAAATGATGCAAAGTGTTTTAAACCTCGTTAATGTGCATCAAACAAAAAAGAAAAAATGCTGTAAATCCTGATATTTGGTCACCCTGTGTCTCTTAGATAGAGATTTATTAGTTAATATCAATTTTTAAAGCCGTCTTTTGATAAACAACCAATCAAGAAACGACAGTTTTTTAACCGATAGGCTTTGCGAATGACGTTGTTTACAAACAACTGTTCTTGATCCTTTGCGAAAATTCTAACAAAGTCTACAAAATCTTTTTTATCTTCAGTTCATGAATTTCGCATTGAATAAGCATAATTATAAAGAAGTAAAACGACAAACTGTTGCTATGGGTACGTAATAACGCTACAAAACATAAGACAAAGCAATACTGAGTGTGATACCAAATAAGGCTAAAAAAGGATGTGTATGCATACGTGATCTTTATTGTATTTATTGATTATTTTAGTGTAATTTGGACTAAGTGTAACAGGCAAACACCAGTCAATGCATCAATTCGTTTCTTCATTTTACACCGATCATAAGGCGTTTTTATTAATTCATACTTCGTAGTTATTAATTTATTATTAATATATTATGGTCATTAGCACTGCAGCTTACTCAAGTCGTAAAACGGAAACAAGCTCGACAAATTACATTTTCGGAAACTGACAGTATCGTTCCTTTAAAACTGTAATCCTACTTTAATCTCTGTCTGTCGGCCATGGAAAAGTTTTCCAAAAGTGACACAAGACATTAATTTATATAAATAACGAACTATCATGACAACGAGTTGTTATGGCCTTGGTTACACATGTTGAATTACCAATATATATATATATATAATCATTATATTATATATATATATATAGGCATTTATAGTATTCAGTTATTTAATCACAAATTATCTAATAGCAATCAAATGTGAAATTAAACAAAAATTAATAAATAAATAAATATTTGATGAAATTTAGATAAGGTGTGTTTGAGGCACTTACCCTTCCATCTGATCTAGGGGAAATTTTAACCAATAGCGCAGCGCACTGATTCTAAAAATAGCTTAAAGATTCGGACAAACATTCACATTCTGTTTAACCGCTACGAGGATTATACAAACCGATTTTATCATTTTTACTTAAAGTTACAATAATAACCCATGTAAACTAAGATCAACTGCGATCGGCTGTGAAAATTATCTGCTGAAAGTAAACTTGTAAGTTTGTTTGTCCGAACTTCGCCTTTGTCTTCGTTTTTTATGACGTCACGGTTGCGCTGCGCTATTAGAATCGAGAATTATGAATTTCCTAACCAAACTATAAGGAAATAACGTTACTTATACAAAGCACTTGACAGCAGTGACACAATAATGAGTTATGTATTTTTATTGTAATGGCGGGCCATGTTTTTATTTTTGGCTGGTCAATCTTCGTAGGGTTCACGACACCTCAGTYTTACAGTGACGTCATTTGTACGTCACTATTTCAGATCAGCTTGTTACTGAGATTATGTGTCACTAAATATTCCTATTCCTATCTTAATGTTTAGCTGGATCGATCAGATTCTCTTAACCACCCCTTCTATGACCCTTTAGAGGCAAAGGTATAACAAGCTTTACGACCCCCCACCCTGCCTGTACTTCGGCCTCTAAGTCACTATGACGACTCTCGGTGTTGCCCCTGGCTACACCGGCTTTCAATGTTTTCCATATTTAAACCAACAGCAATGACGAGAGAAATAATATACAAATGCATGATGACAGCTGAAAACACTTCATTATACAGGATGAAGATACATGAAGTTTTAACAGTCAAACGGCAAAACAATGATAAATTATATCAGTATATCAAATATGTGACAAACGAATAGATAATAATTTATTGAAATTGATAAGATTAACACTTTAAAGGCTTTTCATCCGGAACAACGTACTACAGAAGAGTAGCCCTAAGAAAGTTGGTCCAAATAAACATTATCTACCAAGATTTCCCCCCGTGCTTTGAATGTAGCGTTCTCAAGAGTGGTCTAGTTAAATTCTATTTGAACCTGAACATCACCATAAAAAATTTAAACATATCCGGTCCTTAATATCACTTTTCATTCTCGTCTAAAACGTTCTCAAAGATTCAGTTCATAATAGCTAAATGAATCATATTCAATAAAATTATTTTTATATTGTATGAAGTTTTATTAAGCGAAGATTGATGGTGGTTATCAAGCAGTATTCGTGATAACATCTTCTAGGTTCATGCCAGTATTATCTTGAGGCGGTGTGATTTTCTCCATTATTTTGGCTGTTACCGTCGGTTCTCTTGTCATCCAAATCGATAGCTCTTTTTCTTATTTTTTTCAAAGTTTTCATCACTTCTATCTTTACATCACTTATTTTCCAGCAGTAAAAGAATGGGTTGACAAGAGACACACAGAAAACTATGGTCCTAGTAATATCATAAGCGACATCTATTTGCATAGTTGGTCCATGGACAAGGAATGCAATAAGAGTGCTTACAAATGGTAAATAAGCAACGACAAAAAGACCAACAACATAAGCCAGATTTATGGCTGATCTCCAAAGTTTTTTCACCTTCACCTTCTTTGCCGTTGTTGTCTCACTGTCACTTGTGTTAATTCCTGTAACTGATGGACATTGTAAACCTATCTTTTTCCTGTGATGTTTCATGTATCTAAATATTTGGCCATAAGCAAAGAAAACATTAGCCATCCCAGACAAGATGCCAATAGTGCCAATCACTACGAAAGGGCGAATGTCCTTCATAAAGAAACGTCCACAACTCAAGATCGTTAGGCCTATCCAGATGGATAATGTACTATTGATTGCGCGCCGTTGGGTAACGTATAACTGGTACCTCATATGGAGTTGTAGAGCAAGCATACGATCGAGACTTATAATACTCACTGTCGAGCAAGATACCGCAGCAGAAATCCATGCCACTATCTCCATTATAATTCTGGCAGTACAGCTAAGACTGCTTTTGCTATAAAGCCAAGCCATCTTATGTACGACGTAAGATGGTTGTACTACAAATCCAGTGATGAAATCAGCTGTAGCAAGACTAAAGAGATATATGTGGTTGGGTGAGTCTAGATTTGGGTTGCGCCACATCGTTACCAAGATAAGACTATTGCCAGCAACTGTTGGTAGAAAAACCACAGCATTCAACACACATGTAAGCACTACATAAGGTATTGGTTCTGTGTTTACAAGAAGTGGATGAAGAAAAAGGCAGGAATTCGTATCCGAAGATGATGAATTGTTCATAGTAATTAGCATTCAAAGTCTCGATCCTTGTATCACCGATACCGTTCGCAACAACGGCATTCAAATCTGAAAGACCAAATGTTTACAAGACTAAATATACATTATTCAGTTTAAGTGTTTGTGGGTAAGTCATTTACCATACACCTGTATGCAGATGACTAGCCAGTTCTTCAATTAAATGTCCAATTTATGTAGTTTCTCACTTCTTTCTCGTTATGACCACTATTTTCTTCATTTCCTTTTCATCGTGAAGATTTTTAATGATGGTAACTCAGTTGCTCTAAGTGCATTTAACTCTACATTTGGTCTCAAATCTGACCAAACAAAACAAAAACTAAATAAAAAGTAAAAAATGCAAATATAGGAAGGATGAACAGCTTGGAAAGTTGAACAAATGGTGACAAAATGTATACAATTCAATGTTTTCCTTTCATGACAAACATGTTCATACTTAAGTGTTCTTGGTTGACTCACCTGAAGGCGCACTTGTTAAAGACAGTCTTAATTTAAGTGTTTTTTTCGATCATGAAAATAAAACTATAACCATGAATTCTAAGATAATTGCGTCTTGCTGTAACTCATAGATGATATTGGTCTCCAGTTTTAGGCTAGTGCTTTTGAATCACAAGACTTTTTCAAAGTAGACAAGATATCACAGTAGCAACGCTAGCAAGAGGACATCAAAGGCACTAACACGTTCTACAGGAGAGATGTATCAACTGATGCTCCCTTTTTAGGCAGATAAAACTCTATAAAATTCTTATCCTTTGCCATCTTATTTATCGCTTCAATTTTGATTTAAATAGAACTTTAAATCATTATCCCTGAGGCTTAGGCAAAATTACGAGGCGTTGCTAGGAGAAGGCGAATAATTTGTTTTGTTGACTGAATAACTATCTGTACGCTCTTTTGTTACGTTGCCAATAGCCTTATTACCATTAACATCATATCTGTGGAGAGACATTTCCATCTTACTTTAATTTGTTTAACGACCCAAGCGTTTCCCGCCTAACATTTACAGTATAATAGAATTATCGCAGCATGTTCTGCTTTTGGTTCGCTCCACATGAGGGGGATTTTCTTTCTATTATCTCAAATCATCAGTCATACTCAGAACTAAAACAGGTGTATATATTAAGTCAGTCTTCATGAAGTTAGAACTCGCTGCTCAACTTAAACGATTTGTTTCCTCTGTATTAAGACAACCTTTAGTTCAGGATGTTTGAGACTAAATATTTGACACTGAAGTAATTAAATATAAAACTCGTACTCGGTCTGATTCGGGGAAAGGCACACGGCCGGAAATTAGTTAAACTAGAAATGTACACACATAAGGTCTTGTATAAAAACTAGAAAACTGAACTTATAAGTAAGTGTATGTGATGCTACCTTAGTATTTATCTCTGCCGTCAATCTCTATCAGATTAAAAAAATAATAAGTACCTTGCACCTAGGTGAGACATACTATTGTGATTGACATAGATTATTGTTTGAATTGAGACTCGAAAAGTGATCATGAAAACATGTGAACGATGAAAAACTTGCGTTTTGGATGCCAAATTAATTCATTTCCTTTGGTTAATTTCTATTTTTGTGTTTTAGAATCGAGAAAGGATTTATTGCTTCATTTTGTTGGAGAAAGCGTTAATCGGTGATGGATTTCCGAGAATTCATTATGTGGTGTTAATGAGAAAACTTTATTTCTATAGTTTCTCATTGGTTGGCACCCTGTATTGATGTCCAAGGCATTTATAGAATGGGTTTATATAGAATGAGGTCGAGATGAAATTAATAATCAGGGATACAAAGGGACAGCAAGATATTCCTCAGGTTACTTTCACCATATTTTCCTACTTTCCCCATTTATTTAACTTTCAGTGCTTTTCTCGTCGGTTGTAGTTTTTTTGTTGGTGTGTTTGTTTGCTGAGGCTTCTTCCCATGGTTTTTATCACTGGTTGGAACCCTGTGGTGATGTTCATTGAAAAGGAATAAGGGGATGAAAATAACATTAGCAATCAAGGTTCCTTCACCATGCGTTTTCTTAACAATATTATTAGTGTGGTTTTATCAATTATGACAACGATCACAGATCCTCAGCAAAATCATATTTACCATTTTTCACGTATATTTAACTTGGACTGATTTGTATTTTTTCTTGGCTTTCTTTGTTTTTTACTACCTATTTTTTCTAGTTTGTGACTGTGCTTGCTGTTGTTTTTTCCAAGGTTTAATTCCATTTATTTATTATTTAACTAAAAGAAAGGATTATTTAAAGAACATTAATAAGAATGGTGTCTTGGTTAACAAGGTACGTTTTGAGGCCAGTCACACACGAGATACCGAGGATTGAACCTCAAACCAGCAGGGCAACTTCGTATGTACATGCCATTAGGAGCGCATGAGATGAATCTTGTGCAATCGAAAGGATGTTGGTAATCTCTCCATGCTTTTCCTTGACAGAATATAGCTGAGAATATTGAATAAATATGGTTATCATTAAGTGTTCTTGTCAAGCATTCTTTATATATCACATATCAATAAAATCTACATCAAGATAAGATGTTTTACCTGGAACTGTTGGTCCAATCGTGGTTCCTGGACTTGATGGCTGAGTAGTTGTGGTGTCGGGCAGTGGTGATGGAGTAGTTGTGGTGTCAGGTGGTAGTGGTGGTGTGGTCGTGTTAACGGGTGGTGGTGTGGTCGTAGGTACTTTGGTCATGGCTGGAGTCGTGCTAGGGGATGGTGGTGTGGTTGTTGACTGCGTAGTAGTGGATGGTTGTGTGGGAGTAGGTGGTTGAGTAGGAATAGCATCAAGGATTTCTCGAACATGTTCGCTATACATTCTTCCATTTACCAGATTATTTTGGTCCCAAGAGCAATCCCACAGCATTATACCGCTGACACCAGCTCTGTTCCTAATTTGCTGCAATTACAACAAACGATTGTTGAGTTTAGAGATCAATTATTCTAATGGGACAGAATTGTATAGAAGTAAAGAAAACGATATGTTGTGTCATATTCAAGGAGCACTGTGATTGGACGGGACAAGAATGGCAACATTCTGATTGGCGGACGTGTATGGTCTATCAGTTAACACTCACTTCATAAAGGGTTCTCAAATCATCAACAGTACGATGATATCGTGTTTGTGACGAAGCGCTTGGATGTGCTGGTAGGCCAATCATGATACCAATATTTTTCCTACTGGAAAACGATAGCCATTGATTTAGAGACGTCTGAAAATCTTGTCCAGCTCCTGTCCAACACGGGTTATTATAGAACTGTATGAAAGTATAGTTTGTCAATTCTCCAGCATCTGTCGAGAGACGTATGTAGAAAATTATGAATTATCTTTCAGCAGTTCAGTAAGTTTGATAGTCTAGTTAAGTTAATCTACCCAAATCTAATTTTTCCTTCTCAATTCCATTTACAACATCATCCATCCATTCATAAATTAATTTACTTGCAATTATTTATTTATTCATTCAATTAAGTTAAGCACTCACTTACTCATTCATTCGTTCATCCATCCGTTCATTCGCTTCCTTGTTTATTTAAGTCAAATAATTACCAATTGAACTAACCTTCCAGAGCTGTTCCTGGTTTCTGAGGTCCCAGCCAGCGATCAGGATGAGGACATTGTGGAGCTGAAGTCATCAGGTACGACTTCAACGAGTCGCTTGCCATTAGTCGGCGCAGCTCTCTAATGAGATCTGGAAAGTATTGATGACTTCCACCCTCTATGTTGAGGTCGATTCCGTCAAGTATTGTACTACAAAAAAGGTTGAAAAGCTTACTCATCATACATTTAAAAAATTGGCACCATTTTTCTTCTAGACTGCAGGGAGTAGTTGCCTAATTTTTAGGAGCCAGGGCCTCTTGCTTAAGCGTTCCAAGGTGCGCCCTTTACCCCCTCAAACTATCAGTGCTACTTATAACGGTATTTATAGCTACAGAAAAAAATAGTGGCAATCACACTGGATCACATTAAATGCAGTGGTACTGCATGTGAGTGAAAGTACCCCAATAAGTGTGAAAGCGCCACTTAAATAGCTCAAGGGCGGATCCAGGGGGAGGGTCGGGGGGGGGGGGGGGTCGCGACCCCCTTGTCATTCCTGAGGTCAAATGGGCTCCCTGTGGTAAAAATGCGACTGGGATTCCTTTGCCCACAAAATTTACCCCTGAGACCCCCCCTTTAAAAAAACCCTGGATTCGCCCTTGTAGCTATATTTATCACGTGACCTATACCCTAGACATGCGCAGTAAGAAGTTATGACATAGATGGTACATACGTTCCAAAGGGCCTAAGATCTCTCATGTTAGCATCATTTCCACCGAGGAACAATTGCCATAAAGTGTTGGCAAATTGAACAGCCTGATCTCTGCTGTTTAATATTGTATTGCCAGCTGAACCACCAAGAGAAATAAGAACTTTTTTTCTGTTTTGTTGACAGTTTCTGATGCCTTCTTCAATTCCAGGACAACGAAGCAAGAATGGATGTTGAGGAGAAACTCCGCCACCACAATGATAAGCAAAGTTAAGTCCTGGGAGCGAGTCTACATGACAAGAAATTAATTTCTCCAAATAAGAATATTATTAAGAAAATTATATTTTATGAAGTCAAATTAAGTCCTTAAGTGGAAAACAATATGACTAGTCCTATCAATGGTATATTGCCTCCATTCTCGGTATTTAACTTATTTTTACGTACCTCTATTTCTTGTATCAAAAAATGTGACGAGGAATGCCAGGTTAATAATGTCATACTGTGAGTTTTGACAAAACCATGTTAAAGGTCTTTCATAGTTTGCTGGACCAAATCGAGGTCCTGCACCGTTCTGTCCCCAGTAGCCTATCAGTAAAGGCCTGGAAGGTATTGTCCTGCGCACACGGTTAGACCCTTCAAATACGAAAAATAAATTACAATTTCAGTGGAGTAATGCAATTATACGCCGAAGTGTGCTAAAGATGTCTTTGGATTGTTATTTATCATATATTATTTATTATATATTAATATAACGCTCTGTGGAAAAGCATTTTTTATGAAGAGATCCCGTATTGAAATAAAGGATATAACAATAATAATAATAATAA